CTGATCTGAACGTAATTAAATTCTAGTTAACAACATTTTGCGACCCAATTTATCCCAATGAACTAAATAAACAACCTAAAATGTGCGTTAAATCCCCCTATCCCCAACCTTGCATCAGATATGCAATCTACTGTATATTAGTAGCCTGTCACTTTCCATGTCAGGTAATGAAACTGTATGCTTGCGTTACCACGTCACTGGAATCCATTGGAACACTTCTGAACACTTTGCTGGCAGTACCGAAAAACGAATCCTACCTTAGGGATACTTTCTTTTCCCTCAAAATGCTCAACTAGTTTTTAAGACCGATTACCGACTGTCTCGATGGAAACTTCTGCTTTGGTATAGTCAAAAAAATTTGCTCTGTTATTTTTATCGGGGATCCGTTTTAGCATAGGATTTTTGCAAAGTTTATATCTGACAAAGTTCTATAAATCGTATTCAGCTATTTTATAAGTGTCCATCTTCTCTCATCCTTTATTTTCGTATTTTTAGTAATTTTCCCTCTTGTGGGGTCAGTTTCATCCAAAAGCTGCGAAGCATCTTGAGATCCGCAGCCTGCAGCCTTGTAATGTTTTTTTTGATGTCGTCCGCAACTATTATTCTATTTTTTTCTCGCATAGCTTAACACAATGTCAGAAAAGGTATCACGTCTGGCCAAGATGCTGGCCTCTGATGAACTGAAAACCCGCAAGCTTGGTCACAAATTGGTCCTGAAACTCCTTCGAGTCAAGCCAAAGACTGAAGAATGTTAGACAACTTTTTCTTTCCTTAATGACCTTTCCTCCTCTAGCCGAACTCACCTATGAGAACATTTTGGGCGTCTGCAAGGGCCTTCACTACAGTCTCTGGATGCAGGACAAACTGCTGCTACAGGTTGATTCGTTGCTTTTTCTATGATTATTGCTCTCTCTTGACTTTTAGGAGGATACTGTCGAACGCATTGTCAAGCTGCTTCCTCTGATCGCCTCTCGAGAGACACGAGTGAAATTTGTCGCAGCCATGTTCGAAACACTTGCCCGCGAATGGGAGAATTTGGACATTTGGCGTGTCGACAAGTTTATGATGGTACGTACTGATGTCTTGCATTTTTTATACTCGGCCTCATCACACGCCTCTTTACATATCCCTTGTCAACGGCTCTTTGCTTGCTGCTATTTATTGAAATCCTTCTTGGCGCTCAATTTTGTAGAAGTCTATAAATCTGGCGCTTTCACGCTGACCTAGTATTTAAGGTGAATTGATTAAAAGACTGGCGCTTTTCGGTTCCCTCTATCCTCTCTCAAGACGATTTCTTATCACACGACTGAAATTTTGTATGTCATCTCTTCCATGCACCGTTTATGATACTCTTGGTTACTTTGGCGATTTGGGGTAATTGCCTGGCTAAGCAGGCTTTTCATGCAGTTCAGTGATTTCGCGAAGCTGATCTGTGTACGGCGGGCGCACTTCGCTGTCCGCCTCAGTTGGCGAACTATGGACAAAGGTGACCGACGTAGCTCTGGTTTGGAAGAAACCACCGAAGTGTGACCTTCGTAGATGTTATGCTCGTTACTGCGCGCAAGCTCATCTCGACGTGTCTTGCCCCTGTGTATCATCGGGGCCGATGAATATGTGAAAGGAGGGTGAAGCTGGTGTGTCGGCATTTGTTCTCATTAGACTACAATTCACTCACAAATTCTTGCTGCTCTTGAGGCTAGTGCATTCAAGGTCCCCTTGCTAACCCATCTCGCATTATTCTCTCTCTGGAAGCCTGCCTAAGTGTTAATACCAGCTAGGTTGTCACCCAACATCGATTTTAATTAAATGGAACTAAGGTTACCTTTGTTTATTAACAGTTTCTGTTAGGTTAACCTAAATTTTATTGTCGCATTAGTTCTAAGGTGCCTTCACAATTTTCAACAAAATGTTCTTGCTCTTGCTAATTTGTGACTGCCTATTGCGGATGTCTTCAGCTCTGGTGTTCCGATTTCTGGCTCTGCCTTCAATCGAGAAAGCCCTATTTTTCATGACACAGACACCTTGGTCATTGAAGCAGACGGATTTGCGCGCCGGCAGTTTCAGAGACGCCTGCAAGCGCTGCTAAAGATAATGCCTATGAGTATCAAATGATACAGTCTGACGTAGTCTGCCTATACTTATTAGTGTAGGAGCCCGCTTCGACTGCAAATAAGAATGCATCGCGTCAGCTTGCCAAGGGATTCGCAGTTGCTTAAGAATTCGTTTACAGCAGACCTTAGGATATCATGCGATATGACCCCTTCAATTTTGTGAAGTTTTACCCCGGTTTTGTGCTTTTGACTGTTAGTTAGTGTAAGATTTATTTAAACAGCAGGCCAATTCCCCTTTAGTTCTGCTGCGGGCTATCTCCTGTTTCAGTCTCGCATAATAATTTTTTCAATAGATGAATTCCAGAAAGGATTATCAACTGTTTGACGTTGAACTTAATTATACCCTTCCACTTAATAAAACATCTGAAAGAATATGTTATTTGCAAAGTAGCAGGTGTTTCCCAATGATTTGCAAGTCTAACATGTCCCTCTCCCCCTTGTTTCTGCAGCTTGCTCGACAATTCTTTGTAAAGGCCCTGATGTGTACCAAAAAGCGTTCTTTGTCGGTGAAGGCTGTGACGGATGCTGTCTTCGACAAGGTCCTCAACTCCGACCCGAATGCCGCCATCGATCTCAAGGTGCACCTCTGCACTGTAATTGGCCAAGAACTACCACGCAACAAGGTTTGCTAAAGACGATATCTTTTCTGATGACCACGTCACGTGTCTTTTAGGACCTCCCCGCGGTTATCCTCAGCTTCTATAAGCGCACTCTGGCCGTCCTGCTAACAGTAGCCAGGGCCAATGATTACATTACATGCTTAACGCGACTCCTACTCATCCTGGCTTGTTTGATTAGAGCCAACCGTGCAGTTCGTGCGGAGTTGAGTGAACAGGCCCTCCTCCTCTCCACTAAACATCCACTTCACAGAAAAACGCTCTGCAGGATCTCTAAAATGTAATCCTAATCATCATCAGTAGTAGTAGTAATCTCTAATCC